TGCCATTAGTTAGAAAAATTAAATATTACATCAAATTTTCACTCACAATTTTTTTAATATATTAATTAAAAAAATCACTAACAAAATTAAGTGTAAGATACTCATTAAAACTGAAGAATATTAACGAGTTGCTTTAGCCTCCGTTTGGGAAGTGGGTTGGCTTTTTGGTTTTTTAGCTTTTTTGGTTATTTGAGCTTGGGCTCAAAAGCTTGATTTGTGAATGAATTTTTAGTTTTTTGGTTTTTTTGACTTTTTTGTGAGAGAAGAGTGTAATGATTATGGATTGGATGTGATGTTTTGTCTGTTGTGGCTCAAATAGCCTATCCTATCTTTTGTGGCTCAAAAAGCCAAAAGAGCCCAAATAAGCTTTTCCCAAACGACACCTTAATGAATAAGATCTCCGCTAATGTATGAGTTTAACAATTGTTACTTTGAGTGCACTTGAAATAAATTAAAATATGAAAAATTAAGGAGTTTTTGGAAAGTTAGTAAAAAGTCAACTTCCAGCTTTTTACTCATTTTAAGTCACATCACCTTGCATATAACTTACTCACAAAAAGACAAAATAAATTTAAAAAGTCAAAAAATTAATTTTTTACAAACTTTTCAAAACACCCTTAATTCGGAGTTAACCAAATTTGATTGAGTAATACTATAAACTTACTCTTATCAATTTAGAAATTATTCATAATTTTTATCTTATAATTTACATTTATTTTACATATAAATTTCATATTATACAAATTAATTTTCACTACACAATCATTCACTCAAAATTTTCCGAATGAATTAATCTGGTCGATAACTTTGGTCAATTTGATTACACACCTCTAGTAAAGGGAATTTTAGACATCAGAGAATTTTTCAAAATTTAATTATAAAATCATAAAAAAAAAAAAATTGGTTTTATTTTTAATATTTATAACATTTATAATTAATCTGACAATATTTTTTTAAAATACACTGAAATGAAATTATTAGGTAGGTCCTACCTTAAAATTTTTGGCGGGGTATAGGTATCCCATGTCGGATAAAGACAACACCGACGGCAAGGTGTACATACGCCACCCCCTCACTCCTTCACGTGGCCCCCACTTCTGTTTTTTTTGTTTCCGTTAACTTTTTCTTCCTCACTCCGTTACTTTTTCTTTTTCCGACTCTACCCCTATCATTGGAAAAGTTATTTGGTGATTCTCGGTACAGTCACGCGGTGTCTCAGAAATGTTATGATTAATTGAAGAGGTAAAATTTCCGATGGTGTCTCAGAAATGTCATGATTAATTGAAGAGGTAAAATTTCCGATGGTGTAGAAATGTTATGATTAATTGAAGAGGTAAAATTTACGATTTTAATGTTGAGTGATTAAAAAATAACAAAATATATAACATATGATGATAATAATTGATGAGTAGTACGAACACATGATACTCCACAATAGCACCAAATAATTTTTCCACTCATTGTCTTTATTATTCCCTCTTGATCCTATTTCATTTTTCTACTTTTGGTTATTTTTTCCAAGGACGAAAATTTTGATAAATTATACATAAAATTAAAAAATCTTGTATATAGTTTTATTTTTTTAATCATTTTTTGTAATTTTAAAATAGAAGTGACAGAATTTCATATACATTTATTAATATGAATCTCATTACCTTTGTGCATAGGAGTAATAAAATAAAATAACATAAAAAATGAGATAATATATAATATTGTTTATGAAATTAGCTCGTAAAATTTATTATTTTTTAATATGAATTTGATTATGGGAAGACACTATAATATGATAAATAAACAATTCAGGTCTATGTTGTAAACCTACATAGCGGGTTGTTACACTTGTTTAAACTAAAAATGTATTAAACAATTAATTTTTTAGTATCAATTTTCTTATATGTTTATTTTTAATCAATAAATTAATTTTTTAACTCCTAAACTTAAATGGTAGGAGTGTAAAAATGACTTGCGATCCGTCCGAAACTCACCGACGATTCATTTGTGCCCGGGCCTGAGCCTAGCCTGAGACCTTGAATTAGTCTTGGGCTATCATTTTGAAGCTTGGCCCAGCCCATAGGCCTGACCTCCTGGCTCGACCCATTGGTTGACTTAAGGCCCACTCAAGGGTTGGCTCGAGGGTCGACCCACCCAAGATCTAATGTCTTTTTTAATGAAAAATAACAAAATTTTGGTAGAAAAAAATTTGTTCAGTCTCGCTCGAGCCCAAGCCTAAGCCCACAGGCCCAGCCCACCAACCTCGCCCACCAACCTGCCCCAAGGCTCAAATCCCCCCATGGGCCCGGGCTTGAGTATAATTTTTTGGCTTGTAACCCGGCCCGAATTTTGGTAGGAGTCCACAAAGCCCCACATAGGCCAGGTTAGGTTAGGCCAAATTTAAATTTTGGCAGGAGTCCACAAGTCCCGACATAGGCCGGGTTGGGTTAGGCCAAATTTACACCCTTACTATTTTTTTATTTTTATTTTTTTCCTATGACACTTTAACTTCACATGAATTAAATATGGATCCAAAATAAAAAATACAAAAACAATATAAACACAACACATAATCAACACCAGGAAAATTATTTTATAATCTTGGGACAAATTCATAAAGGCTTGGTTTGGGAAGTAGGTTGGCTTTTTGGCTTTTTGGCTTTTTGGCTTTTTTGGCTATTTTAGCCTGGGCTAAAAAGCTTGGTTTGGGAAGGAAATCCCCCTTTAAAAAATAATTATAAATTAATGATATATTTTATTAATATTAATAAATAAATTAATATTAATTTATTTATTAATATTAATAAAATATATCATTAATTTATAATTATTTTTTAAAGGGGGATTTGGTCAAAATCCCCTAATAATAAAATTTTAATGCATTAAGAACATGCACAAAAAAAAAATTCTTAAAAAGTTTAACAAATATCACTATTATCAAAATATTAAACTTTAAAATAATATAACTTTTGATATAAATGTCGGTTTTTAATAAAATTAATCACTCTGTTTGGTTTCAATTTTCAAAAAATTCTACTTTTTTGTTTTTTTATTTTTATTTTCACTAATTTTTTTAATATTTTAAGTAATTTTTTTTAATTTTTAAACACACCTTAAAAAAATATCACTATTATCAAAATATTAAACTTTAAAATAATATAACTTTTGATATAAATGTCGGTTTTTAATAAAATTAATCACTCTGTTTGGTTTCAATTTTCAAAAAATTCTACTTTTTTGTTTTTTTATTTTTATTTTCACTAATTTTTTTAATATTTTAAGTATTTTTTTTTATTTTTTAAACACACCTTAAAAAATATGATATTTGTGAAAAAAATCTTTAAAAAAGTAACTCAATACAAAAATATAAAAAATAAGAAAATTCAATACATTTTTCGTATTTTTGTGTATTTATTAATTTTTTAAAAGGGCATTTACATACAAGTCCCATTTTGTGAACTTATACTCCATTAAGTCCTAAATAAAATTATTTACTCCTTCAAGTCCCATTAATTTTTAATAGCCCAATTTATCTTTCCAAGACCTCCTCATAGCTGCCAAACATCATTGCTGTCTTCATTCTCTCTCTCTCTTCACAGTTGCAATTTGAAGTTCTACACAACTTCAGTTCGTCAAACATGGGTGATTCGATCTGGGTCTTGATTCGTCGATGATTGAAGCTTGACCAATCAATTTCGCAGGTCACTCTTCGACTTCTAATCTGGATTTCAGTTCGAGATCATGACTTCTGCTCTTGAATTCATCCGCGATGGTAAGTTTATGGTAACTTCCAGTTCCGTCCGTCCAATAGAATCGCTGAATAATCCCAATCCAAACATGTCTCCAAGCTGAAGCGTCTGAGTGTAGAGTTTGTTGGCAGTGTCTACAAATCCAACCTCTATACTATCTTCTATTACGAAAAGAAGCTCCGCCGAGCGTGGATGGGTGTGCAGTGGGTTAACGCCGCCAACAGGGAATTGGAGGACTGCCATCGACACGCTCTGGCCGTTGAGAGCCGGGAACTTGGCCATGGTGGCTTTGTGACCTTGAAGTTTGGTGGGTTTGTTGAGTTAGCGGCAAGTCTACGAATTCCCGTGAATGTGAAAAAGTTTCTATCAATTGGGGTGCTAGAGTTTGCAGGGACTATGAAGTTTGTTAAGATATCTCGATCGCCTGCTTGGGCAATATAGGAAGTAAAAAGGAAAGAAAAGGAAAAACAAAGCTTGTTTGAACAAGGTTGAGGAGGCCATTGGTTTAGATGGTAAATTGGTATGAAAATGAGATTGTGTTTTTGGGGGACGATTAGAATTGGGTTAGAGGATGATGAAATTGAGAACATTTTCTGTCTATAATATTCTCAATTTTAATCATGAAAAAAGTTGAGAAATTTTTCAAAATTGATAATTATAAATTTCTTAGTTTTGATAATATTCTTAGTTCATACTAGAAAAAATTAAAAAATTCCTTAGTTTTTGATAATTTTAAAATTGAGAACATTCTCAGTTTTGGGATTAAAAGGCAAAACGTCTTTTTACCTATAAATGAGACTTAATGATTCAAAAAAATTTTGACCGGATCAAAGCTACCACCAAATATGTAAATAGGACTTTTTGATAATTAATATTTTTTTAAAATATTTTTACACAAATATTTTAAGATACGTTAAAAAAAAAGTAAAAAAAACTACTTAAAATTTAAAAAATACTCACTATAAAAAAAATAATAATATAAAAATATTTCGAAAATATTAAATAATTTCCCTTTGTATTGGTCACATCACGAGGCTATGGAACAAAAACAATCACATGCCTCATGGGAGCACTCAATCAAACCGTTGCTTTTGCAAAAATGCGTTCAGAAAGGATAATTTCGTCATTTCACAACTCACGCTAACGCCATTATCACTCTCTCACTAACCCAAAAAACCACTAGTGGTATTGCATATCATGCTCTACGTGGCTTCAAACCATTGGTGGAATTCAGGTCGTCCGGATTCAGAGCAACAAGCAATAATAAACTAAGAAAACACACTCTCAACTCACTCTCTCTCTGTCTCTCTCTCTATGAGTGTGCTTTTCTCTCTCTGAAATTCCCGAATTGCTCCCAATTTTCTCACTCCAACGCTCCAAAACTCTTCGAATACGAATTCTGCAATGCGTGATCTTACGATTCCCTTCAATTTCGAGTACTGATACCGAGTTTTCACCGAGTTGTTCGACTCACTTAGTTGGGAACTGAAATGCTTGAAGCTGTGGAGAGTTCCGTCAATGGCGGATTTTCGCAGTTGCAGAGTTGTGGAGATAGCAGCGAAGAAGAGCTCTCTGTTCTGCCACGTCACACCAAGGTCGTTGTGACTGGTAACAACCGGACCAAGTCGGTGCTCGTTGGTCTCCGAGGCGTGGTCAAGAAGGCTGTTGGGCTCGGAGGGTGGCATTGGCTGGTAATTTTTCTTCTCAATTTCGAGTTTTTTCGATTGAATGACTTCAAATTGGTTTTGGGTTTCAATTAAATTCAATTTTTGAGTTTGGGTTTGGGTTCTTGAAGAGTTTGATTGTTTATGTTAATGCCATTGTGGCTCAATTTGGTAATTTCGCTGTAGTATGCTATATTTAGTAATTATTAGTTTTTTCATTTTTTTTTCTTTTTCTGCCCTATATTCTAGATTAGTTTATTAAAGTCTCATCAATATAAAGGATTTTTAAAATTTTCCAATTTACTGACATTTTTTTTTAAAATATTAATTGACGAATTTTTAGGTGGTTCTGGTATCATTTTGCATGAATTTTAATGTTGTTTGTGTTTTTCAAGTTTTAATTTTGAGTGCTTAGAAATGGGTTTTGGTTGCATGTTTCTTTTTATCAATGGATCTTGGGTTTCTCATAATTTCGGATTGTCAATTGAATTTTCAATGCAAATTCCTAATTAATATGGTTATGGTTTTATATATATATATATATATATATTAATTTTAATTGTTTTTGCATTGAGGGATTCAGTTACATTTGATATAATCGATGGAGTTTTGCTACATCACCATTCCATCGCCCCCAATTATACATCATTAAGTGGCAAATAATTTTGAAAAGAGAGAGAAGAGTTTGAAGAGAGTTAATTGGTTGGTAATGTTTGCCACCACATTAAAGTTGCAATTGGGGTTAATAAAATGGGGGATGGGGCATTTCTCTAATCAATGTTCTGTTAATTTCTCTGACTTTGATAGGACTTGGCTCTGTTGTACTTTGTTTCTCAATTATTATTTCTTAAATTTTTTTGTCTGAACGTTTTAGGATTTTTTAGTCTTTAATTCTATATGGATTGCTTTGCATGATTGGTTTTCTTGGGAATTTTGTTCTGATTAATGTTTAACATGAATTGCCTTATGGCTCATTTATTGAATCATCAATTTTCCATCAAAGGGTGTTTTATATAACTTCTTGTTTCATAAATTATGCGATTTGCAGGTACTTTTTTTAACTGGTTGTAAAGTAAATTTGGTTTGTGTAGTATCTAGTTAAGTTTTATGCATTTTTAAATAAATATTATTAATTTTTTGTTTTTGTTTTTGTTTTCATTATCAGTACTGTTGTTCACTTTTCAAGATTTTGACTTAGCGTTACAGATATTTACTTGATCACAGTCACTTTTTTGTTGTTTATGTTTGAGGTGTTTATTGATTCGTGTTTTAGCTGAAGATGCAGATGGTTTTCTTTGTCATTATTCCAGTGACAAATTTTAGATCCATGTAACCCTCAATGAGTTTGTATAACAAAATCTGATAGATATATAATTGGGTAAGATAAAATTGAAATCCTTTCCTTACTTGCTATGAAATTTTGTAATTATATGCATTTTTGTGCCCGTTACATATTTTACTCTCTCTCTCTCTCTGCTTTTTTTTTTCTCTTCAGCATTTTAGCCAGCATAGAGTTAGGCTTTATGGGGTTCTTCTTGTATTGATGTAATGGTTGTTGGCATTTGGCTTGCGGATATATTTTGTTGGACTTTTTCATATAGTGGATTTTCCAATTTAAAGTAATTCTCTTGATATTTGTAAATAATCTTCAACTGATTGACCCCCCCAAGAAAAATGACTACTAATTTTTACTTCCTGGTTTGTGTTATTTCATGGTGATTTGGTGTAGGTTTCTCAGGTGGTTTCTAATTGTCCAATTTATGTAAAATGCAGGTTCTTACAAATGGCATAGAGGTAAAGCTACAAAGGAATGCCCTTAGTGTGATTGAAGCTCCTACTGGTAACGAGGATGATGAAGACCTTGAATTTGAGAATGTGCAGTGGAATGGCTCAGATTTGGGCGAGTTAGGTGAGTGAATTATGCATCATAATTTTGTGCCATTGCACACTTTGAGAACTACGTAGTAGAATTTTTTTAGAATTGTTTAAAACTGCATTGCATAAATGAATGTTTAAAATATTATGTGGTTCACAAACGTGCATACCTTCCATAATGAACCTCTAGACTCTAGAGTTTATCCACAGCGATCTCTATGACTTGAAATTTGTTCAAACTAAATGAGGTAAAATGTACTTTTATCATTTTCATTGACAATTGCACTAGATATTGTTATTGGAGCATCAAATAAGGTTGAGAATCAACTTACTTTTAATCCCTGTTCAACCAAGATCCTATCAATTTTTGTGAAACCTTCTGATGATTATTGTGTGACCAATAATTCTATTAGCATTGGTACCTGGCATTGAAGAAGAATTTATTTATTTTTTCATTCTTATCCTCTCATCTGTTAATTGAAAGTTTTTGATTTGACCAAAATAGTGGGTCTTTTTATTCAGAGAAAAGTTGTCCAGGGTGTTACATAGGATCCATTTTCCTTTTCCATATTTGCAGCACTTCATCTTTTACTTTTTCCATTACCACAAGCTCTGTTGTTGCACTCTCCTTTGTGCTTGTTTTCTTTTTGGCCCCACCACTGAATATAATTATGCTTTCTAAATCTCCAGCATCCGATGATACTCAAAAGTCCTACAGATCAAGGCATCGCATGCATAAATTATCATGGTCGTCCCACAAGACTATGAGCAGGTCCCTCTCTTGTGAATCACAATCAAAGGGATCATCTGTGTCTACTCCTTGGGGGTCCACGGTAATAAACCTTTTTATACAATTTTTGCCCCTTTGTGTACATTCCATATGCTATAATGCTCATTTGACTATTGCCATATTTTGTGATTGTGTATACTGTTCAATTTTTGTATTCAAAATATCTACTGTACAGAAGGTTGACCTAAGTAAGCTGGAGATGGCTGCATTATGGAGATATTGGCGACACTTTAAGCTTGTGAGTTTATAATTCCTGAAGTTGGCTGCAGCACGTCAATTTATTTTATTTATTTATTATAAATATAATATGTAATATTGAGATTTAATTTTTCTAGGTGGATGCCAGTCCCAACCCATCTAAAGAGCAACTAATTGATGTTGTCCAGAGGCATTTCATGTCACAGGTACTTGCTAACTTGTGCTCTTTTTCTTACATGGCATTGAGTAAGCACTGGGTGATGAGAAGTTTTGAAATACTCGATCCAAAGTCGTCCAAGAAAAATGTTAGCAATCAACTTCATTTCAATTTTTGTATACTCAAAAGATACTTGATCCTTTAATTCACGGTAACGACACAAGTCAGTATTTAACAAATGATCAATATTCATGGCTACTTTTTTATTTTATTTTATCAACGTTTACCTGAATTCGTGTTCAAGAAAATGATTATCTGAAGTTATTCTTTCTTCTGCTGGTGAAGCAATTGGACGAGTTGCAGGTCATTGTGGGGTTTGTGCAAGCTGCAAAAAGATTGAAGCGAGTGTGCAAATGATGATGAGCGAGAAAGCGAGATCTTTAAATATGGTTGTCGATGCTAACAGATATTAGTACCTAAATATCCTGCTTCCCTCTGCAGTAATGTCTGTAACTAATGTATCCCTGTTTTGTTTTGCTTTTGTTGTGCCTATAGTTGGTCTCATTTACTTTTTAAGTCCATGGAGGTTCTTACTTTGTTGGTAGTCGTAGTTATGTAAATATATGTAAACTCTGGTGAAGAGACCTCTACAGGGACATGTAACTTTTCTAAGCTTGGTTGAATGAATTGCTGACTGAGGGGAGTGGTTTTTTAATAAATGTAAAGTCTTATCCGTGGCGAGCCATTGGGAATTTATTTATTTATTTTTTAATTTTATTTATTGCTGATTGGTTTGACATTAGCTCCACATGTTGTTAGAGCTAACATTGAATGACTCGTCTCATCACAAAATTTCCTGTGAGGTAGGAGTATGATTTGAAATTTGTCGTGGCGAGAAAATTTGGTATGCCCATAACCAAGATGAGAAATTTCTCAACTTCCAACTTAATAAAACTTAAATGAAAAATTTACTAGTTATGTTCAAGTTTAAACCTTTCAATTTCCAAAACAAATTTAAGCCAGCAATATAATGTTTTCGACAAAAAAAAAATTCAAGATTTAAGACAACTTTCTTTACGTTTTTTCAACTGAGTGTGTGACTGCAAAACATAAAAAGAGAAAAGAAATGATGTTGAAAGTGTTGATGGGTTAACTTTGAGGACCAGACTTGAGACACAAGGACACATAAATACAGTTCTAACACCTTTTATATTCAGCTTGGAATTCCCATCCTTTTTTTTCTTGGTCCAAAGTTGCTAGCTTTCACACTTTTAACCTCTTTCTATGACTTTGAACCAAACTCATTTTTTAAGTTGTAAATAAAGAAAGGTTCCATTAAGGGTTGTCAATAAGATAAATATAATATTAATGAGATTTTAGCATGCAACAATTGTTTTATCTCTAACTAACTGGGATTAGTTTAGTTGATCAGAATCTTTTTACATTTTTAGAAGACCAAAAGTTCAAACCTCTCCTCTCCTAAGCTAAGACCTCCAATATATCCAAAAATTCAAATGAATCACGTCTATATGTGCATATGAGATATTTACCAATATGAATAATCTATATGTGCATATGAGATATTTTCTAGTTTGCGAACATAGAACTAATCACTGAAGCAATTTGAGCAAAACAATATCTTTAATAATGAACAGTATTGTATGTGAGTGTTGATTTCCGATCTCACAACTAAACAGGAACTTAACTGGAGAGCACGCAACAGAATAGATTACACCAAACACTTGCCAACAAAAAAATAAGAATACTACGGTGGCTCATTCATTCGGGGGTACTCTAACGATCGAGTTAGTCAACCTATCTCCCAAAGATATCAACGCAAGTATACAATTTACAATTTACAATCAAAAAGTATACTTTAGGCCCACGGGGTGTATCACTTTTATAGCTAACAATGCCCTCGTCCTCTAGAAGTCTCATTTCATAGGACTCAAGTGCAATGCTCATCTCAGACTCTTAGTTAGATATGGATGAACTCCTCAAAGGTCTTATCCTTATTTGCACTAAGCGTATCACTTATCTAGGACTTTTGTTCCCTATCTAAATATCTTAGATTCTGATATTATTGCACCAGATCTTGGCAATACCATAATGATAACAACAATTTGGCTCGCCCACGTAGAACCTCGACCAACTCCTCGACAACACCTCGACCACATGACGCGACCCAAAAAGTACATCTCCACAACTGCCCCCTTGGTTCTATTGCTTCAGCAATTTGAGATGATGTAACCTATATTGTCTGATCTTCTAATATGTCATCTAAACAAAATGTTAGAGATACTCTTCCGACCGAGATTATGACTCATCGACGTCAAGAAACTAGGACTCAAATGTCTATTGGTCAAGAACCAAAAATCAAGAATCAAGATAATCCTTCTTGTCTTCCTTTTCGGATGTTGGCCATCTATTCTTACCGAGTGCCCATAAACGGCGCCAAATTGTGGATGTTGATTTCCTACCTCACAACCAAATATGGAACTTAGCTGGAAAGCACGCGTCAGAATAGACAAGAATATCACGGTGGCTCGTCTACCCGGGGACATTCCGATGATCAAGTGAGTCAACTTATCTTCCAAAGATATCAACACAAGTATATAATACACAATCAAAAAACATACTTTAGACCCACAAGATGTCTCATTTTTATAGCCAACAGTGCCCTCGTCCTCTAGAAGTTTTATTTCATAGGACTCAAGCACAATGCTTATTATCAAACTTTTAGTTAAATATGGATGAACTCCTAAAAAGTCTCATCGTTATTCGAATTAAGCGCATCACTTATCAAGGACTCTTGTCCTCTATTCAAATATCTCGGATTCTAGTATTACTGCATCACATCTCAACAATCCGACAATCATATTGGCAATCTAGCTTACCCATATGGCACCTCGGCCACGTGGTGCGACCCAAAAAGTACATCCCCACACTGTCTAATGTGTATGGCCATAATTATTTTATTTGATTGATAATTTATTTGTTAGTTTTGATGTCGCTAAATTTATCATTTTCCCCCTTATGAATTGGATCATAAGCTTACTTTTATTTTTTTTGACACTAGGATCATAAGCTTACTTTGACCATTTGGTTTTCAACTGTTTGCTTAATTGTATCCGTTAATCTAAATAGAGCGAATTATGCTTCCTTATTAAGGGCCCATTTGGTGCAAATATTTGCAAGTCTAAAGTTGATAATAACAAAATAGCAGTTTAAAATATTTCTTCATCTGCTCTCAATAATAATTTTTTCCCCCAATTTATTTAAATAATTTCCATTTCATAAGTGATAAATAAAAGCTGTACTACTAAAGTGGGAGTTACAAACCTTATCTCTTTCTCCTCTAGGCTAGTCTAGGAGGTTATAATGGTATTTTCAATGTAAAAAATAAGCTAAAGATTTTCAAACATAACCATAAAAAAGGGAGGGAAAGAAAATTCTACATTCCCGCCAGAGTGATATGTTGCAATAATTTGTGTTTGAATCTTTTTGGATAAAATCAATTGAAGTAGGAATTCAACCTTGGATAGTGACTTGTTTGGATAAAAGTGGAGTGGAGCTTCAATTCCCGCCAAATCTTACAAGAGAATAATAATAGTAATAAATTAATAACCAATCAAAGCTAGAAAAAGAAAGGTTGGTAGTTCGGTGCATATGATAATGTATGGAATAGTATTATATAATATAATGTCCATTTTCTTATTTTATGTATGGTACTTTAGAATTAAGATTAGTCATTTGTCCTATGAGTTTTGTCTCTCCTAGCTACAAATATTTATTATTCCGTTTAGTTCAACTTTTAAATCACATTTTAATTAGTCAAAAGAAAAAAAGAATAATTTTTTCGACTAAAAAACTAACGATGAAAATTAAAGATTCACTCAACTTTCTCAATAACTAAAAAAATAATTATAATTAAAAAACTCTTTTAACATTTACCAATTGCATCAAACTTTTTAGCAACTCTTCTTATCCTAATACAATAAAAAAAATAAAAAACTAAACAAAGTTGATATGGTGAATGATGCATTTAAAAAAAGATTAATAATAATACTAATAAATATGTCTATCCTAAGTTCAACCAGTTTTCTTGAATATCATTTAATATTTTTACTAATGCATTCGTGAGATATAATGAAATTAAACAATTATTATCAAAATTTAATCACCATATTATTATTAATATTTAGGGTTTAATATTCAAGAAATGGGAAAGATATTGATGATTCTTGAAAGGGACTTCTTTGTTATGGACTTGGGTGAAAGAAAGACTACATACAAAGTCAGCCCAAAGCGCACACATTTGTTTGTGGTTTTTGTACAGACCAAGAAATGAAGGCCCAAATACAATAGCCCTCTAAAGCCCAACTCTTGCAATAATTCTGATCTATCCTCTTCCATGGGCTTGTGCTGCCTGTGAATGTGGATCCACGGAGACTAGTAACGGCCCATGACATTTTCTATATTTCGGTAGAATGTTTGTGAATCTAAAATTTCTTAGTAAATTCACGAACATTTATGTTTTAAAATTTCTGTATTTCAAGAATTTTACATAATTTAATACTCTAATTATATGTTTTGAGACAAACAAACAAAACAATTTAGTGACACAAATTTAGGAATTTAAATTGCGAGTCTATAATATTTTTCAATATATAAAATAATGATTTAATAAAAATAATTATTTTATTAATAGATACAAAATTTAATAAATTTCATGTGTATTTATTTATTAATATGGGTCCAATTATTTTTTTGTTTAATAATTAAAATTTTAAAGTAATAATTACATTTGACATGGCAAGAAAAAGACAAATTAAAGACTCACACTCGTACACTTTCCTCTTTTCTCAAAATTTTTTAGCCAATTTTGCCACGTCGTTCGGAGGAAAAAATTGTATAAATGTAATACTAATATTTACAATGGCGAGGATCAAAATCCCATTAAGTATACCATGACTCCTAAGATTATTGGGACCACCTATTTTGCAACATTGCATTGGAGGCTCAACTTAGAGAGGTTCATATTAATCAACAACAAAACAAAGATTTAGCTTCTTTTCCAGTCAAAGATTCCATTGTTAATAATATTTATCCCACAATATGTGTCTTCTTTTTGTACACTCAGGTTATCACTAAACCATCTTTACACCTTATATAATTTTCTCTAAAGTAAATCAGCCATTTGTCATGTTTATTACAGTTTGTTAAAACTATATATATTGAGAACTTGTGATAATATGTTGGATATAAAATTTGTTTAAAACGTTAATCATCAAAAAACTCGAAGATAGATATTTTTGATTTTTACTTTCTGATTATCAATTAACAAAAAAAAACTTGAATCAAAAGGCCACATGCCATTTTTAGATTAATAATCTGATCTTTTTGAGTCAAATATTCTGTCCCTCTCCACCATTTGTTTATCCTTAATGGGGCTATTAGTCCTTGATTAAACTATTATTAAGTGCTATGTCCTTTGCTTTGAAAACAGCTGTAATTGTATCAAACAAACACACAATTAAAGTGGTTGAAACAAAATGTTAATTTAGTTCCCATTTGAATCCAATCAAAGTTTTTAAACTTTTATTCAGAACAAGAAGATTACAGATTTTTAATTTTGTCCAAAGTAACAAAACAAACAAAAGACCAGTCACACCTATGAAGTTGGACTATTGTGAACTTTTTCCATTGATCTTGGGCAAATGGGTGATGATCAATCAATTTATGAGAAAAGTGCA